ACAGGACACCCCCAGCTCTGGGTGCTGGCATTTGTCCCCTCACTGTCTGACAAAAGTCCCCTCTGAGCACGGCCAGCAGCGGATGGACGGGATTGGGATGGTTTGGGATGGTTTGGGATGGTTTAGGATGGGTTTGGGATGGTTTGGGATGGGTTTGGGATGGTTTGGGATGGTTTGGGATGGGTTTGGGATGGTTTGGGATGGTTTGGGATGGTTTAGGATGGGTTTGGGATGGTTTGGAATGGTTTGGGATGGGTTTGGGATGGTTTGGGATGGGTTTGGGATGGGTTTGGGATGGTTTGGGATGGTTGGGGATGGTTTAGGATGGGTTTGGGATGGTATGGGATGGGTTTGGGATAGTTTGGGATAACATCATTTCTGGTTATTAATTCCCTATCAAAAAACCTTCAAATGGGAACAGAAAAAGGAGAATTATTTCTTCAGAGCTGTTCAAAGCGGTGCAGGTGCTTTGCAAACCCTCCCTGCCGACCTCCAGAGGTGAAACCAACCCAAGGCACTGAGTCCTGAGCTCAGCTTCTGCCAGGGCTCCCCTTCCCAGCATGGTGCTTCCTCACATTCCCTTTGTGTTTCCAGGATGCATCCAGGGATCTGCAGGACAGGAGTTAAGCCAGAGCTGCCCATCCCTGAGCTGTGCTACCCACAGGTTTAGGCCAGGCTTTGATAAGATGGACATAGGGCTTTTCCCCTCTCTGGCTGGGACTCAAAGGCACAGCTGGGGTTTGCACAGCCAGCCCTGGGTCCAGTAAATGCAGAAGACAATTCAGTGTTTGCCCTTCCAATTCATTATTTGAAATATTTGAATATTTCCTTCCAGGAAACAAACACCCATGAGTTCCCCACCCAAATTCAACTCACCTCTTGTGCCACATTCAGCCTTCAGCTATTTTCACACCTCCTTTCTACAGCTTCCACCCTGGTCTGGACAAAATTCACAGCACCATGCAGAAAGCCTTGAAGGGAAAGTCATTCTGCAGCTTCCCAGCCACAGCAGATATTTTAAACTGAAAGGGCACAGGAGGATGGGCTGGGCTCAGCAAGAGGAAATCACCTTTCAGCAGCAGCTGCTGGGCTTCCTCTCTGATGAATGCAGCTTCTAGAGTGACCAGAAAGAGGAAAAAAGAGAAGGAATCGGTTGTGGTTGCTTGTGGTCCAGCCACAGAGCCCAAGGCATCCCCAGGGCAGGGACAGCGGGGCTGTGTGACACAACAGTGCCAGCCTGTGGCAGGTGATGCTCAGGTCACCTCTCACCTGCCCTGCCTGCCTTGGGCTCCCATCATTTTGGGATAAAGCAGATAAATCCCATCCCCGTGTGATCCAGGACAGAGCAGGGCGGGCAGGGGACACCCCAGGGCCAGCTGACACATTCACAGGAAACATTTGGCAGCTCAAAGGTCCAATTAAATGCCTTTTTCTCTAAAAATGATGAATTAATGTAATGTAGAAAACACAGATTCCTTGGTAAGGATGGTCTGAAATAGAAAAAAAACCTGGAGATGTCAGCATTCAGCACTTTAATTTCTGCTTTGCTCTGGTGAACTTTGGGATCTGTTATCCATTGCCTGCCTGGGAGCCTCAGCTGCTGCCTGGCTCGGCAGGTATTTTACAATACATTTAATCTTTATATAGAAACCACAATTGTACCTGCTAAAACACTCCCCAGTCACCAAAGAAAGAAAACAAAAGAGACATTTTCTTCTTTTTGCGCTCTTTTTTCAGCCTTTAGACTTAAAAGAGGCACCTTTTCTGTAGCTATTTTTCTATAACTATGTGGGTTATACACTTTTTTTTTTATTTTAAAGATGCAACAGCCATCTCCATGAAGTGTTGTGGTGCCCAAGAGTTCAGGTACCTGCCTGAAAAGCCTAAAACTGAATCATGAAACCAAAGTGCAGGATTTTTGATAAATGCCAAGGGCAGCAGATGAGCAGAGCTGCTCCGGTGCAGGTGGAACTGGAGCCCAGTTTAATGCTTGTGCTCTAAGCTCACCCCCTCCTCATTCAGAGGTTTTAAATTCCTTTCCTTGCTATTTATCTCTTCCTTCTTCCTGCCTTTCTTTGAGCCTTTTTGGGCTCTCCTGGAGGAGTTTCCTTGCTGCCAAACAGGGGGGCACAAACCTCTCTCTGCTCCTCTTGTGCCCCTCATGGTGACACTGCCTGAGCTGGACCACGACCTCCCCTTTGCAATTCTGGCCTTGTTCCAGGGAAGCTCCCTCCATCTGAGCATCCAATCTCCTCCAGGCTCTGATTCCTTCATTATTTTTAATTTTGGCAATTAATGTATTTGTTGTTCTTATTGCCAACAAGTGCCTCTCCAAGGAGAGCACAGAGAGCACCAATTAACCAGGAGGGTGCTAGGGGGGCAGAGCAGAGCCCCCTGTCCATGTCCTGCCCCTGCTCTCCTCAGCCAGGAGGAATTTCCTCATGGAAAAGGTGCTTGGAACTGCCCAGGGAGCGCCCATCCCTGGAGGTGGAAGGTGGGAGGAGGAGGGAGCATCACCAGGCAGGGAGTGGCTGTCAGTTCCTGGGCAGTGACAGGGGACAGCAGGATTTGTCACTGGAGAGCCTGGGCTGGGCCCACGGGGAGCAGGGGGCTCCTGAGGAAAGGAGATTCCTTAATGAAAGGCAGAAAAGCATCAGACAAAAAGTGGGACAAATTGGTTCTGTCCAGGATGAGAGAGGGGAAAGGGCAGAGCCAGTTCAGTGGCAAAGCAGCGATTCCAGGAAGATTTCCCAGTCCCTGGGCTGACTCCTGTGTTTTATAGGAGATCACAGAGACCACGGCTGCTGCTGCCTGTGAGGATCCTGGACACTGCAAGAATTTTATCCAGAGTGATTTTCCTCCTCAGATCATCTCATCCTGTCCTTCCTCTTTTTCTGTCCCTCTGCAAGAGCCCCCAGCTTCTCCCAAGCCACTCTCTGCTGTCACCAAGGCATCTCCAGTGATGCATGAACTGTCCCTAACCTTGACTTTTATCCCAGGAAATCCAGTGCCATCACCTGCAGCTCCCTGCTTTCTCTCTCCAGCTCAGTTTTGTCTGCTGGGGAAGTGCACATGGGTAGATAAGCACATGCTGGCAGCACATTAATTGCTTTACAGCAGTTAGAGAGCTGCAGAAGCAACTTCTTGGGGGTGTTTTTTCCAGGAGCAGGCACTGGGAGTGAGAAGAACCCTTTGTGCAGCAATCAGTGTCTCCAACACTCTCCAGAGGGGAAGCAATCAGCACCAGCCACAACCTTTACTCCTTAAACTTCCCCAGAGGGAACATTTCAAAGCATCAGAAGGATTTAAACCTGTCCAGCTGCTGCTGAGCCATAATTAACAGTTGCACAGTCAGCTCCCACTGCGGCTGACAAAGCCTCAGCAGCAAATCCTCTCTTTATCACACTGCTGGAGTATTTATAGAGCCACAGCCAGGCAGGGGGCAGAGGGAGGAGGAGAACAGGTGAGCTGCTTACCAGGGGGGATAACATTTCCTTTCAGCTGCCTGGCCTTTCCTCAGCCCCTGGGGAAGCTCCAGGAGGGATCCTGGGGTGCAGCCTTTGGCTCTGGGACGGCTCCTGGGGCCAGTCCCCAGCTGGAACATTGGCAACCAGGGGAACTCGGGCTGATGTCCTCACCAGGAGCCCTTCCACCCCCAGGAACTGCCCCTTCCTGCTCTCATCTGCCTCCTCCAGGAGACCCAAGTGATGGAGGCCACAGCTCTGCTCATAAACTGACCTTGGACCGTGTCATTTGTCCCTCCCCTGTAGCATTTACAGCCCTGGGCCTCTTCACAGAAAGTGATATAAAAATAGCAATTCTCCTCGAGTGCCCTGGCAGAGGGTGGGGACAGGAGGAGTGCTGGGGTTGTTTGACCCGTGGGCTGGAAGGGGATGCTGGAGCTGGTGGAATGGGAGAGCTGGGGAAGCAGGAAGGGCAAGGGTTGCCAGTAGGATCCCAGGTGCTGCAGAGGCCAGGGAAGGAGATTATCACCCCTGAAATCTGCTGGGTACCTGTGTGGCACTGTCCCAGCTGCCCACACAGAGATCCGTGTCCCACGGCAGGGTTGCAGGATCTCTGCTCTGGATTGCACCAGGCTGTGCCAGGGAATTACCAGCACTGGATTTATTTCCTGCTGTGCCTTTATGACCCCGCTGAGACCGTAAATGCCTCTAAAGTCTAACTAAAACAGTTTAAGTTTCTCCATAAACAGTCTTGTAAAGCAATGCTGTTCAAAAGGGGAAGGGGGGGTCAGGAGGTTTTTACCACCTGGCTGTTGAGCCCCTGAAGTGCCCCACTCCTCTTTGTTCTGTGGCTGCTGTAACTCCCTGGGGAATTTCCTCCTGCTGGGATGGCCTGAGAGGGTTCCTGGAAAGAGCTCCTGGGAGCTGCATCCCACCTGCACCCGGAGCACAGATATCCATCCCTCCCTGCCAGGAGATCTTTGTTCAGCCCCCCAGGCACAGCCTTGCCCCAAGGACAGCACACCGTTTAAAATAATTTTTAAACCCATTTGAAATCATCTTTTAAGCACAAAAAGACATTTTCCTCAGCACAGCCAAGGGATTTCTTTTCCACACACTTTATTTACAGCAGTCTCCCATCCCTGGGCTTCCAAGCCACAGCTCCCTCCAGCAGGATTTCTTTTGGGAATGGGATGATGCTCACGGCCCCTGCCGCGGCAGGGGTGGAATGGGGTGAGTTTTGGGGTCCCTCTCATGGCAGGGGTGGAATGGGATGAGTTTTGGGGTCCCTTCCCGAATTCCCGGCAATTCCCGGTCCCGCACGTGGCTCACCCGCGCCCCCCAGCGCCCACGGGGGGCAGGCGCAGCTCCCCCATCCTCCTGTGCTCAGCCCTGCCCAAACCCCTTCCAGATCCTTCTGCCCCATCCCGAGCATCCTCCCGTGCTCAGCCCTGCCCAAACCCCTTCCAGATCCTTCTGCCCCATCCCGAGCATCCTCCTGTGCTCAGCCCTCCCCAAACCCCTCTCTGACCCTTCTGCCCCATCCCAGCCCCTCCTGCTCTCTCTGGTGGCCCAAACACCGAACCTGCTCCCCCTTAGAAGCCTTTCCTCGCACCAAGGCTACAAAGACACCTGCAAGTTCACATCTCCGGGGTCGGGGAGAGCAGCCTGTGCGTCCTTGCTCTCCCCGCGGTGGCAGCGCTCAGCAAACTGCACGGCATCGTGGATGCTGTGGAAGGGCAGCTGGCCCCCAGCGCCTGCCAGGCCGGCCCAGCCTCCCTCCCGGAGCCGCCGGCGGATGGAGGGGTTGCAGTTGGCCAGGAGCACCTGGACCCCGACCCCCAGGTAGTCGTGGTGCGTCTCCTTCAGCACAGAGAGCCCCGCCGTGTCTATGAACTGCATGGCCCCGCAGTCCAGGATTAGGGTGTGCATATCCCTGCAGGGGGGACGGGCTGGAGGCTTCTCAGCCCTTCTCCTGGCCTGCTTCAGGCAGCCAAAGCCATCCCCAGAGCCCCTGCTGCTGCCTGTGTCTGTGGTGGCCCCCGGCCCGGGGTGGCTGGTGGCCAGCAGCAGCACGGGGTTGACCCCGGTTTTCTGGTACAGCGCAGCCCTGAAATAATCCTTGTTGGCGTAGTAGAGGGAGCACTCGAAGCGGAAGATTTTGACGTTGGCGATGCTGCTGAGCTGTTTGTAGGTGGCCTGGTCCTCGTAGATCTCCCTGTTGCTGACCTTGCCCAGGAGCGTGGCCCGGGGTCTCTGCGTGCGGAAGATGATGCAGAGCAGGGAGAAGCAAACGCCCACGAGGAGCCCGATCTCCGTGGTGACCAGCGTGGAGCACAGCATGGTCGCCCACCACACCACCGTGTCCAGCTTGCTGAGCTGCCACATCCTGGGGGTGTCCCGGAACTTGCTGAGGCCGCCCCGCAGGTTGACGATGGTGACCACCCCCAGGATGGAGGTCTGGAGCGAGTAGAAGAGCGGGGAGATCCACAGCAGCACCAGCAGCAGCACCAGGGAGGTGACCAGCCCCGACACCTGGGTCTGGCTCCCCGTGGACTCCTTCAGCAGCGTCTTGGTCAGGGCAGCAGAGCTGGCAAAGCAGTAGAAGAAGGAAGGGATGAGGTTGCACATGCCGATGGCGATCATCTCCTGGTTGGCGCTGACGGCGTAGCCGTGCTTTTTGCCAAAGATTTCTGCCAGGGACACGGTCATGGCGAAGCCAATGACAGCGATGGGCAGAGCGTCCAGTGCCAGGCTGGGAAACAGGCTGCTGTCCGGGACAGTGGGCTTCCTGAAGCCCGTGGGGATGTCCCCACACACAGCGGCCTGGTAGCGCTGCTCAAAGTCAAAGTAGTGGGAGACGACCGTGGCTACGATGACCACCAGCAGCTCGATGGGGAACGGGGCCTTCATCCTCTCCTTGTAGCGCTCGTTGAGCTCCTTGACGGGCACTATGATGGCCAAAGCCACCAGGCTGGTGAGCAGGTCACAGATGTTGGTGGTGTGGATGTGCCTGAAAAGGTCCACCCAGGTGAGGATGAAGGAGCCCACCCCCTCGTGCCGAGGGATTTTCAGGCCCAGCAGATATTTCATCTGGGAGGTGATGATGGTGAGGCTGGAGCCGGTCACAAAGCCCCCCAGCAGAGGCTCTGACAGGTAGACTGCCACGAAGCCCATCTGTAAAAGCCCCAGCAGGACCTGAAAAGAGAACCAGCCACAGCTTTAGCATGGGCTGCAAGGGGTGGCTGGTGCTTGATGTCACTTTGCTGCCGCTTTAGCAGCCCTGGCTACTGGGGTGGTTCTGTCTGTGGATGTGCTGAGAATTCCACGTGAGGAATTTGTCTCCAGGAGTTAATCTGGGGTATGGAAAACTAGAGAGAGCCACCTTTAACGCTTCTCTGTGACTGGGGATGCCACCCAGAAAAGGTCCCTGCTGCTGCCTCCTCACCAGCAGCCCCAGCAGAGCAACTCTGGGCATCACTCAGTAGTGATGCTCTGAATTTGGAATTTTGGATTTGGAATCCGCTGTCCCAGTAGAAAAGCCTGGAACTGCTCAGTGACAGCTCGGCCTAGGCAGTGGGGACAGTGCCAGGGCCCTTGAGGGTGGTCCTTGCTCTAAGCTGCAGGACTGAGCTGGTGGGAAGGTGGTTCACAGATCCTTCTCTTGCCGTGTCTGATCCTGAGGATGTGTCAGACACTTCCAGGGCCTGGCTCTTCTGTGGAGGAAAACAACCCCCACTCAGCTGTGTCTGCACTTTTAAAATCACTGCATTCACAGAGATTCAAAGGTGTCAGGGTCTAGAAGTGTTTCTCGGGACTCCTAAGTCTGAACCAACACTCAGAGATCTCGAGCTCGGAGAATCTCCTAGGAGGAAACAGCACGAGAGCGAACGCTTGTACCTGGTAAAGACCGACCAGAAAGCTCAAGGAGAGGGCCACGGTGATGGCGTAGCAGCTCCTGTCACAGGCCTCTGTCCCGTTCCTGGGGGAGCTGGAGTTGTCCCCGAGGGCAGCACCGCTGTCCCCGTACCCCGCCAGCTGCAGGTGGCGCGTCACCGACTGCCCCACCATGAGGCACAGCACCCCGAAGGAGCCCACGCTGGCGTGGCGCGACGTGGCCGTGGCCGCGTAGATGATGTTGCAGAAGAAGTTGGTGTAGATGCCGTAGATGGGGTCCTGGTTGGCCAGCAGGGAGTAGGAGATGGACTGAGGGATGGCCACGATCCCCACCAGGAGCCCCGAAACGACGTCCCCCAGCAGCTGGGTGCGGGGGCTGTAGCGGGGCAGCCACTCCAGCACGGGCAGCAGCCGGCGCAGGGATCGGGGGCTGCAGCTGCAGGCAGCTCTGGCTCGCTCCAGGATCAGCTCCCTGCTGCTGCAGCCTGGGGGCTCGTGCTCCTCCAGGGTGATAAAAGTGGCAGGAGCCTCCTGAGCTTTGCTGGACGTGTCCTCCATGGCCCCAGCACAGCTAAGGCAGAAATGAGCACATCAGCAGGAATCTCAGAAAAGAAAAGCCTGGTGAAACCAGGCCTTGCTCTGCTGAATTAACAGCTGGCCTGTAGGTTCCCATCAGAAAGAATCAGAGGAATGAAAATCAGTTTGCATAACAATCTGTTCTTGTAAAGAAAAATAGGTTGCGCCTGTAACAACAACAAAATCTCTCCCATGAGAATCCATGAAGAAAATATGTAAACTAAGGAAAAATAGAGATATTTGATAGATATACACCCTGGCCACTTACTGACCAATAAAATGAGTGCCAGTGTACAGTCAGGCAATTTAACACATTTTATCCCTATAAAAATTTAACTAATTTTATCCCTATAAAAATATGAGCTGTGCAATAAAGATGGACTTTTCTGCCTGAAGAAACCAGAGTCCTGTCTGGGAAATAACCTCAGACAAATAAAACAAAAGCGTTTTCCCAAGGTTGATTTATTTGTTGTCATTTATGGACTTGATTAACCCCGACCCCCAAATCAGGGGTCACAGAGACCCCCGTGCTCCCTCCCCATCCCTCTTCACTGAACTTCACTGACTTTCAGTGAAATTTCACTGAAACTAAAACTCCTCCAAGAACTCTGACTGCTGTTGAGACACTGCTACTTAGGCAAAAAACTTATTTTGGAAATGTTAAGATATTCCAAGGGATACTTTAGGAACCAAGACGTGGGTAAGGTAATCAATTAATTAATATTATAATTAATATTATAATAATTATAATTATAGATAATATATAGTATAGATCATTATCTAGAATATATAATATTATTATTTCTTATTATTTAGTATTATTAGTTAGTTATTAATAAGGGAAATAATTATTTGTGTGATTAATTTGCAAATTAATTTTCCCTTCAACACTACATAATTTTAAATTTCACCAGTGGCTTGCATCAAACAGGGGCTCCCATCTGCAGAATGAAACCATCCTGCTTTTTCAGGCTGGTTAAGAAACAGAGACACCTTCCAAGCTTTTCAGTCAAAATGCAGCTGCAACAAAAGCACCTTTTTGTGAGAACTGAAGGACAGACAGAGAGAAAACAACTCCTGAGGGGAGACCCGGGCTGTGGTTTGGGAATGAACTGGGGTGAGGAGAAATCCCATTCCCCTGCCCTGCACACCTCACCAAGTCTGACTCTTGTGGTGCCCAAGAGTTCAGGTACCTGCCTGAAAACCCTAAAACTGAAACATGAACCCAAAGTGCAGGATTTGGAATAAATGCCAAGGGCAGCAGATGAGCAGAGCTGCTCCAGGAACTGGAGTTAATGCCCATTCTTACCTCTGGCTGCAAGTTGGGTGCTCCCTCCCCACCTGGGGCTTCTCCCCTGGGGACAGACCTGTCTGCACCTCGCAGCCACCCCTGGGCACAGGGAAACCTGGCCCAGGAGCCTCTTCCCTTGGGATCTGAGCTCCTGAACCGAGCCATGGCTCTTTTATCAGCTGCTGGAGATGGTGCAGCCACCAAACAGAGCTGTGTTTGGGAAACAAACACCGTGCTGAGAGGGTATTTTGGCTGACAACTCCTCCTGGACACGAAGAATGATTGAAGGGGCTCAGAGAAGTGGTCCTGCCAGATAAGAGGATTGCCTGGATCTGGAGAAGTGTTTGCTAAACAAGGGGAATGATGGAAAAACAACTCTCTGCTCTGCCCCTCCCTGAACTGAGCGAGCTCAGGTCCTGCTGGGCTTCTCTGCTCAGGTTTTCTTCTATTCTGGACAAGCTTTTGTGCCAAAAATCAAGAAGCAAAGCTCATTCCAGAAGGAGTTTCCTTTCCTGGCAGTTTTTCCCCCACAGAGGCTCTGTAAAGCAGAGAGCAAAGCTGTGGTGCCACAGGTTATTTCAGGGAGACAGCAGAACTTTGGATGTGCCAAATCTACACAATTCACATTTTGCAGAACCTTTTAGAGACCAGCACACGTAACAAGGGGCTTTGCTGTGCAGAAACACAACTGGGAAAAGAGCAGGGTCGTATTATTTGGTAAAGGTGAGCAATTGCACCAGCAGCCAGGAAAAAAAGGACTGTTCATCACCCTGAATGGAAAGAGCAGCCTCATAAATACCAGCTGGAACTGCTCTGCCCTTGGCAGCTGTGCCAACAACCTCCACCAGACCTCTCAGCACACACTCCCACTCCCCTTGCTCTGCCTCCTTCTTTTTCATCTCTTTTCCACTGAGCTAATCCAGATTTTTTGGTTGTTCCATGCCCCATGGATAAATGCCTGCCAGACAAGGCCTTTCCTTGGAGAGGGGGCTGAGAGCACAGGGGGCACTGGGAGAGCTGGAGTGGGGATGGAGAGGTGGAATTTCCACAGGGTTTGGATGTAGATGCTGGGGAGACACCCTGAGGGAAGAGAAGGGGAAAAGCAGCATCCTGAGCTACACTTATCTCATCAGGGGAAGTCTGGATCTCAGTAATTAGGAGTAAATAAATAAGAAACACCCGTGTTCTCTGGCAGCAGGAGAAAATGAGAGCACATGCTAAGGAGGCAGCTGCTCCATGTTTTTATCTATTTATATCAATTCTCTTTCCCCTGCCATTCCTCCAGAGCTCGTGTATTTCCAGGTGCACAGCTGAGAGTTCCCCTCTCCCTTCCCCTGCTCTCAGTATCTCGCTCCATTTTTCCTTGGCCTCCTCATTCCTCCTGTGCTGGGATGATCCTTTCACACCCTTTATACAGTTCCTAGTTACAGCTCATTTTGTGCCTTGGCCTGGATGATGTGGTCTCTACTCACTCATTTTCTTTTTCCATTTTCTTCCCTCGCAAATTACCCAAATTTCCATTTTCTCTACGAATCCTTCATCTTGAAATTCACTGAAGAAGTGATGAGTCAGCCATTGAAAAGCTGGCCAGGCTGGACTTTTGATTGTTCCCTGGGATGAGACACAGCTGAGCACAATCCATCTTTGGGTTTGATCTAATTTAGGAAGATCCAGCTCTGGATCTCTGCCCTGTCCAGCACAAAAATGGGGCAAACACTTTTTCTTGCGTGGCAGGATTTAGGTTACCTCAGCCTCCTGCCTGCTGCTGCTTTTCCTTCCAAATTCCATCTTCATTTATATATTCTGGAGCTCTTTTATTTGTTAAGATTTCCTTTATGTCCTGATAGGGCTTGGGAAGAGCCCTAAAGTTCTTCCCCCTCTCTGAGGCTTCTGCCTCCAATCCTTCCCTGCCATCCTCCCCCAGAACTTTTTCCTCCCCTTCCTTGTGTTCAGACTCACAGCTGTTTTTGTATACTCAGATAATAAATATCTATTTCAATATATTCCATACTTTAAAATATTCCAGACTTTTTGCAGTTCCCAAGCTCCTTGTCCCCACTGGTTTCCCGGTGAGTTTGGCTCTCTGTGCTGGAAATTCCCGCTGTGGGCTCTGAGGAGAGGCCACTCCACGTCCTCCATCCCAGCAGAGGAGCTGTAAGAACACCCTTGGTGACATCTCTGCAATTCCTTTTTCTGGATGAGATGAGGCAAGGGCAGAAAATACAAAAGTTTCACATTTTCTGTGGGAAATGCATCACAAAAAGAAACCCGCCAGGGACCGTCAGGTGACCTTGAGCCACCCGGGGCTGTGCTGCCTTCCCCATGCAAGGTCAGCACAGCTGGAACAGTTTGTTTCCAAAAGCATCTTCCAGGCTTGCTCTTTATTGCCACTATAAACTCGTTCCATGTTCAGCTCCATCCTGGGCAAGGCTGGGCTGCACAGACCATTTTGGACAATGCAGGTGGAGACAGGACCCTGCCTGTGCTTTCCAGAGCACAGAATCCAAAGATTTTATTCCTGGCATGGAGTGTGAGCAATTGAACATCCGTCCATCCCATCCATCCATCCATCCATCCATCCATCCATCCATCATCCATCCATCATCCATCCATCCATCCATCCATCCATCCATCCATCCATCCATCCATCCATCTGCAGCCCAGAGAGAAACAGAGCAGAGCAGACAAGCTCCAGGTACAAGGAAATGTGGGAGCAGCAGCCGCTGTTTTCCAGCTCCAAGTCAGCAAAAATCACGGAATTTCCTGTGTCTGTGATTGTTATCCAGGCATTTTGCAACTGGTAAATGCAGCAAGTTGAACTCTGTGCTGCTGTGTCAATGCATCCCTTTTGTTTTAGTGTTGGCTCCTCCAGTTTTCCTGGGGATTAACTGCTCTGCACAAAGGGGTCCTGGTTTGCTTTAGGGTTTGTAAATACATTTGTGATTATTTGGCTTCTGGAAGCCTCTCAGGGCCAGCCTGACTTAGGACGTGGCTGCCCCCACTGCTCCCCAGCACTTAGATCACAATTTTTATTAAAAAAATAAAATAAAAATAGGAAGTGAGCCAGGTAAAGGTGCCAGGTTAAGAGAGATGCTTTTCCTCACCTTCACCTGGGGGGTTGGACATGATGGCTGCCAGGTCAGCTTCACTGGAAATGTATTTACTGCAAAACAGCATCTTTTTTAAGGGGAAAACAAGGAAAATGAGACAGGCCCAGAACTGGTGCCACTGCTGAGATGGCAAAATGCAACAGAAGCACCCAAGGGAAAAAAAAATCTGGACAGAACCTCTCCAGTTGTTTCTTGGAAAGGGATTATTTGCATTTCTGCAAGAGATAACACATCCCAGGAAACAGAGCAGTTTTTGCAGCCCCCTGTTTGCTGGCAGGGGCTCCAGCAGGGCAAAGATAACACAAATACTGAGAGGCCAAAAATGTCACTGCCCCTGGGACTGTATGTGGGGGCTGAGAGGGAGCAGGGGAACTACAAATAAACAGCAATAAAGAACATTTTCACTCCTGGAAGATGGGAGGAAAAGAAGAGCCAAACACATCAGCTCCAGAGGTTTTGGGGAGCATTTTGTCTTTATACAACAAGGATGAAATAAATTCCTTACCATCTTTTGCTGCCCCTTGTTGCTATCCCCAGGTTTTTCCCTGCTTGACACATTCCCAGATTATCCAGCTAATTACTGGAAGGGCTGTAATGGCTCTTCAAAGAGGTTAAATTGATTCCAGATGAATACAGCGGAGTCAAAGCATGGAGAACACATTTCTATTTCATACTGAATTGCACCCAGCCCAGGTTGTCATTGTTTGGGGGGGTGAGGACCTGGCACAGGGGGCTCAGAAAAGCTGTACCATCCCTGGAAGTGTCCAAATCCAGCTTGGACAGGGCTTGGAGCTGACCTGGGATAGTGGAAGGTGTTTGGAATGAGATGATCTTCCAACCCAGTGCAGAACTTCCTCCTAACACCCAATCCAATCTCCTGCCACGTGACAATATTGGCTCTTCCATCAGATTTTAAACAGAAGGAGAAGCTTTTTCCCACCACTCAAACACTGGGATGCTGTCACAGGGTGTGGTGGGAGTCAACAGGTTTGGGAACAGGGGTGGTGAAGCTTCTTCCCGAGGAAGTGCTGCAAAAGCTGTAACACAGCGCTGAGAAGTTTGTGTGGAGGGTTCTGAAGGGGCTGGAGCCCTGGGACACCTGTCCCAAGCAGCCCCCAGAGGCAGGAGATGGGGCTGGGGGGTCCCATCAGCCACAGCAGCGTGGATGGCAAGGCTCAGTTAACTCCAGGTAAGGCAGAGCCTAAAGCAGCACAGGTACAAGGTGTCAGCAGGTTAGGTTAGGCTAAACCTGCTTATCTCAGCTGTGAACCAGGCTCGTTTTGCTGGAGGTGAAGGTTGTTCTCTGCTTTCCAGGAGGAAGCTCCTGCAGGCATTCCCCACACCCTTTTACTCTGTTGGCACCAAGACAGAAATTGCAGCCTGTGCATGGAGGTCCCCTAAGGTAAAAGGCATCCTCAGGTAAAAGCTGAGCCATGCTGGGCCAGGAAAATATTTTCCGTAACTCAAGGACACGTTTGCAGCCACAATGTCACAGGAGCTGCCCAGAACTGCCCTCACAGCTGCTCGCAGGTTTTTCTGGCTCTTACTGGCCATGACCTGAGCAAGCCACAGAACCTGGGATGGAACCATAGAATAAAGGGAAAGGACTCACAAGGACCATCAAAGTCCAGCTCCTGGCCCAAAATCCCACCATGAGCATCCCTGGAGCGCTGTCCAAGCTCTCCTGGAGCTCTGGCAGCCTCGGGGCCGGGACCATTCCCTGGGGAGCCTGGGCAGTGCCAGCACCCTCTGGGGGAAGAACCTTTCCCAAAATCCAACCCAAACCTCCCCTGGCCCAGTTTGATTTATCTGAAGGAACACCAACACACACGACAGTATTCTGCAAGGCCAGGTATGCAGTACCAGGTGCTGTAACTACACCTATTGTAAAGTACGAGTAGCAGCAAACCCGGCCATTCCCGCAGCTCAGGAATTCAGGCCTGGCCCACAGGAGGGTGCTGCTCCCCGGCACATGGCACATCACCGTCCCCACACGCTGATTTTGGTTATTAATGTCACAACAAACGCCTGGAGCACAGCAATGG